TGCTCACAGGGTGCTCACAGGGTGCTCACAGGATGCTCACAGGATGCTCTCAGGGTACTCGCAGGGTGCTCGCAGGATGCTCACATGGTACTCACAGGGTGCTCGCAGGATGCTCACAAGGTACTCGCAGGATGCTTGCAGGTGCCATGGAGGCGCATGGGCCCTGGTGTCCGGCTGGGCTGGACGCGGCGCCAGTGCAGCACCATGAGCTCCGCACCCCGCGCGTCCTTCCTCCTCCTCACCCCATAGCCACCGCGTTCCTCACACCTCTGCGTTCACGCACAGTGTTGTCTGTTGCTTGTTTGTTTGTTTTTTCCTGTTAAAGAAGCTGAATTCTGTCAAAGCACTTCCTTAGTGTTTCTGTGCTTAAAATATGCAAATTTTGTCCTGCTTTAAATGTCTTATTTCTTTAAATATCCTTTGATCACCGACCTTGGAGCAGAGGATGGTAAGCTATTGTCTCCTGCCTTTCACCTAACAGCTGGCGTTGGGAAAAATCTTAACATTTGATAGGACGGGGAGATTAAGAGGGAGGCAGGTACGGTTGATGTAGGATTTAGGCAGGATTAAGCCAAGGCGGGTACCTGCTGGTGGCTGATACTGCAGCAGCTCTGCCTCCGCGCTGCAGAGCGCTGCTCCTTTCATGCCATCTGCGAGAGCAGCGCAGAAATGAGAACCGGGGTTTGTGCAGCTCGAAAATGTCCTTGGTGGGTGGCAGGGAAGGCTCTGCTGGCTGTGGTGCCGATGCCGCTTGCTGCACCGTGCCCAGGCTCGCTTCCCGTGGGCCTCTGTGCGGATGCGGGCAGGGAATGGGAATGTGGGCTCCCGGGATGCGCGGAGCGCGCCGGAGGGTGCTCCAAGTGGCCTGGCGTAGGTCGGGGTGAGCAGAGCACCAAGCTCTGTGCAATACTCACCACGACGGCATCACAAACCGAGCGGTCACGGCGCGAGGTCACTTGGGTGCAGGTGGCAATGAGAGAGCTCGCGGCTGGGGTGTCCCGGCGAGCGGCTGCCACGTGGCTGCTGCAGGTTTCCAATGTCCAGTGCGATTCCTCGCGTGGGACTGCGCTGCCCCGGGACGTGTATTTGCACTAGGCTGCATCCCGGTCTCTCGTGGAGATAATTATTGTTTTGTGTATCTAATTACTCCTTTACTTTACCTAAAGACTGGTGATTTGTAAAGTCCCCTGATTTTGAGAGTGTTGAATTCACGTGGCAGTGCACAGGGCTACTCGCAACAGGATGGTGGTTTAAAAATTGCTTTTAATCTAATAATTTTTAATTGCATAAATTAGACTTTCCTGTAATTGCATTGAGTTAATTAGTATTGGAATGCCACTTATAGAGCAGATTTGGGGAGAGTTCTGGCTCTCCTGCACGGGTTGTCTTGCAGCTTTAGTTTCCATCCTTATGGGCGCAGGTTTTGGCATTAGCAACGCTGCTCTGACGGGTTCATTGGGACAGAGGCGGATGCTGCATGGGAAGAACATGTCAGCAACTTGTCCCTGGCCTTTGCGCGCAGCAAGGACAGACATTTGCTCCGGTGTGTGGGATCGGAGCGTGGGATCACTGACCCGGAGCTACCGCCCTGCTCCCTACCGAGACAGGAGGGCCCCGTGCGGGCTCCCACGTCCCTGGAGGGAGCCAGATTTCCCTAAACACGAGGTTCTATTTCCAGGAGTATTTAGGAGCTGTAATCTTCTGTGAGTGGCGAAGAGCCAGTTTTTTAATGCGAAGCAGCAGCCGCGGCACATGGGACGCTGCGTCCCCCGCGAGATGCCGGTCTCCCTCGGAAATGTCTGCAGCACCTTTGGGAATCCGACCCCAAGCCAGTTTTTGCAATTAAACTCTGTCCCAAATATTAGCTTTTATCTTTTTGCTCCAGCCAGAGGATTACGCGTTTAATCCCGCGCTCGCTGCGGAAGCGCGCAGCCGCGCTGGGACACCGGCCACCAAACACCCCTGCAGCTGCAAAGCCCCGAAATTGGTTGAATTTGCAGAGTCTGGCCCAGCTGAAGGGCTTCCCTGGCCCTCGGGAGCCCAGGGAATGAGCTGGGAATGGGACCAAAGCAAAGAGGGATTTGGGCACCCAGTGCATGAGCGCGCCGGGAGGTCATGGCCATAGCAGCAAAGAGCAGAGACGAGGGCACGGGCGCCCGTGGGCTGCTCCTCGCCCGGAGAGCGGAGACGGCTCCGGCTCGGCAGGAAAACGGCCATTCACGGTCTCTGATGGCATCTTGGGGATCAATGGAAAATATTTTATTGTGCCTTTTGTCTCTATTTGAAATCAAGCTAGAAACTGATAAAATAAAAAGGCTATCTGCTAAGCTGACAGCTTTATTTTTGCAGCTGCAGAAAAAGTCACTCTGTGCTGGCTATAAATATTAGACAGGACACGTTGGGGATTTATGTAAGACAAACTCCCACCCTCCCCCTTTCTCCGTTCAGGATGGAGCGATGCCTGTACATTAATATAGTACTAAAATGAGGCGGATTTTTCACAACATGGCTTTAGATAAATGCACAGATTCGTACAGGATGTCTCCCTTCCCTCCGGGATGAGTTTAATTTTAGCAGCGGCAGAGCTGGCGCTCCCGCAGGCGGCCGCCCCCCTCGGGCACCCTCATCGGGGCTCAGCCGTGGGGCCAAAGTGGGGTTTGGTGCCCGGGGACGATGCAGCCGCTCGCCGAGGGCAGTGCATGGGGTTGCACGTTGCCTCCATGAACTCCGGGACAACTTGCAGCTCCTGGGTGTTTATTTTATCCCTGCGGAAGCTCCGGCCGACGCTCTGCGGCTCCGGGCGGGCAGAGCTCCCGCGTCGGAGCCGGATAAACGCAGCTCCTTCCCCAGCCAGGCAGCCTCGACGCCACTTGAAAGACTTTTCCATCCAATATTCTCCCTTTCTAACATTACGGTGAGAATTATTCCTTGCCAATATACATATTAAAAATGCATTTGTACCTTTTATCCCAATAACTGGAAGCACTTCACAAGGATTAGTTTTTAAATCTTTATGATGGATTTTGGTTCTTTTGATTTTTTTTTTTTTAAGACAGCTCATTTCTCTATAGCAAAAACAAGGCTGGTGCTGTCAGCCGTTTCGCATGTGAACTGCCTTGTGTCTGCAGCAAGTTCTCGTGAAGCTAATGGGCAATGACAGTGATATTTTCAAAGCCCTGTAAACCCTTAACCGCACATTGGGAGCCGGCAGCATCACAGGTGAGCTGCTTATTAGCAGGTGAAGCTGCTCCGTTGGGCACGGTGGCTCCCATCACCTGGAGCACTGCAGACTTGCTCCCGTGTCTTGCTGATGGTTTGTTTTATTTCCCTGCTAACAGGGAAGACTAGTGACAACATGGCCTAGAAAAGCCCGTGTCTCTTCGTTTCGTCGTTTTAGCTCCCAGGCTTCGTGGAACTGGCAACTTCATTTTTGTGAATTTATTTTCCATTCTGATGCTAATGCGTTGGCTTTGAGGCAGCCGTTGGGCTGGTGCTCACCTGTCCAGCCTCTAAAACACCCTTTTGCAAGACTCCAGAGCTGAACCTGATTGCACGGGCTGGAATAGCGACCGGCTCTGCCTGCAGACCCCGGAGCTGCGGTAGATCTTGTCCAGGTTCTTTATCTTGGGAGTGCCCTGCTTGTCGGGGGATGATCTTGCAATTCCATCACCGCAGTGTTGGGACGTCTGGAAATTGCCAGATAACCCTTGGATAATCGGGGGTTACTGCGCAGTAACGGCAGCGCCTGGAAGCAGGTTGTGCCCCAGGCCGTCCCCGCGAGGTCCCCGCGGCCGCGCTGGCCCCGCGGGGCAGGTCCCCAACTGCAGCTAACGCGGCTCCGACGTTCCCGTGCAGCTTGTCGGAGGGCCGGGAGAGCGAGCGTCGCGCTCGGTTGCTATCAGAACATAATAGGAGCTGCCAAAAGAACATGACACTGGAGGCTGACGGATGCTCGCGCTGGCTTCCCTGGCACCTGCTCTCCGGCAGAGGATGGAGCTGGGAGACGCCGGCGTTTACATGCGTTTGACTTTAATATTTTATTATATTTAGTCTGACGTTTATTAAAAATGTAAATCTGTTTCCTCAGCAAATGGAAGTTAAATACCGGGGAAAAATTGTTGCAGCCCTCGGAGCACGTGTGCTCCGCAGGGGGAGGGGAGGAGCGGGGCCGTGAGCCGGGCGACGGCGCTGGAGGCGGCA